GAGCTTTGATATGACACGCTATAAAATTACACTTCACAATAGTGTGAATTTGAGAAAAACAAAAACCTACTTTAAAGCTGCAACACTAAAGAGCTTCTGCCAATATTGCTAAGTCAACAAAACCCTTTAGCAGAAACAGCATTTCACTTTGTCTGCCAACACAGATATATCACCTACCCATGTGTCAAAAGCTAGGTTGGAAAAAGCACTCTGTCAGCATTGTAGCATCCACATTGGGGTTTCACCATTGCTGCTGTGTTGCCTAAGCAATGTGAAAAAAATATATCCCATAGGTGATACACGCAAATGTCTTACTTTTTCTGTAATTATGCTTGCATTTTCTATGCTTCACAGCTACTAGTCATTTTTTCTTCAGTTTTCAATCAGTTTTATGTTCAGATGCTCAACCACTAGTATAATTTTGTAATGAGTAAGCTGTAGTGCAAATATTACAGTAGCACTTGGTAGCACCACTGGAATGTATTAAAAACCTTCATGGAAATACTTTGATTAGGTTTATGCAAGCATGGGCTTGCTTAAATTTGGGGTCAGATTTAGCAAGATATTTTCTCTTAAAATATCAAACAGTTATATACAAAATAGTTGTGAACTATTATATATTTTCTGTTTAGATTTAAACATTCCTGTTTCATATTATATGTAAGGTGTAAGACCTATATACTCAAATCATTTGACTCCAAATTATGACTACAGTCTTGGAAAAAACGTGCTAGAGTCCATATTTTTAAAAAGCCTGCTTATGTCACTACATATAGAGGGAAAAACATAACTTTCAATCGTAATTCTTTAGAGCTTTATTAAATCAACAGCTATCACCAAAAAATAAAGTTCCAATCAGTGAGCATAAAGTATGTTTCTTGTCTGTAATAAGCTGCAGCATCTCAGAGAATAGGATGGCTTCTGTCTCTGTAGATGAGTAAAAATTTAAACATACAGTACACAGACAACAAAGACACCATAGGGTCTAGCAATATGCAACACCTCCCAAAAACTCTCTGTACACTTCATTTCAAGGACCTTGAGTACCATTACATCATCTCCTTAGGTAGCTCTATGACAGTAATATTTTTTGCTTTGTGTTTTACCTGGAATACTGTTTTAAACCTTTTAGTACAAAAATACAGCAAAAGGCAGTTAGAGAAGTAGTAAAAACACTAATTGAAAAACACCCCCCCGCAAAAAAAAAGGAAACAGAAATAGAAAAAAAGCACTCTTTAAGATATGTTCAGTAAAATCTGCAGAAAATGGTCCAAACATCAGTAAACATCCAAAGCACTAGGCGTGTTAGAGATTTAACTCTCATCTGTTCTCATGAAACCATAACTGTTGTTCTCAGCAGGTAACTTGTTACCCTGCAATTTAACATTGTTGGTCTCATCGGGTAACTTGTTACCCCACCCACATGAATAAAATGGAACCAGTGACAAAAATATAAATGTACCCAAAACTATTTATTAAAAGTACAGACTGTTTGAAGGAGTATTTATGATGATTTGAACCCAAAATATTATTTAACTAGAACTATGAACAAAATTTAAACTTTTTTAGAATTTCAAAATGTGAATGAACAATTTGCTAAATATGCAGTTCACACTGTTTTCAAACTAACACTTACTTCTAAAAACATTTCCTAACTGTTTTAACTAAATATAGCATTCCTAACAAAGCAGCAGTGATGTACTGTGGTGCACACAAGCAAATCACTTACAATCTTCACATCATTTCCAGGTTTTGTGGTCATCTGCCCTTGGACAAAAAGCACAAGGTCCACTCATACTTGCAGAAGTTTCTACTGAGGTAAGTTGTGGCAATTTGTAATTTAGGGCAGTCATACCAGACTTGATGGACTTAGACAGACAACTTATATCCATCAATCTTTGCTTTATTTGTCTGTCAATCAACTGTTCTTCAAGCTCCTGCCAAAAAAAAAAAAAAAAAGTGCTTTCTTTTTAAATGTGATCTTTGCTTCCAGTTTGCACTGTGGCCTAGCCAAATGATGAGGCTGGCAATGGCAGCCACATCCAGCATATCGAAAAATAGTGCCATTGGCCACCTGTTGATTTTCTGTCTGCAGGTGGTCATGCAGACACAGTGGTAAAGGTTATCCACCCCACCCTTGTTTTTATTGTAGTTATAGATGATGTCCAGCTTTCTTTGCTCTCCACTCACTGACAGGTCATGGCGCATGCTTGACAGCAACAACACAACTTTGGACTTCCTTGGAACATAGGAAACTAGTGTGAGTCCCCATTAAAAGCAAAAATGGATGAAAAGGTTTCTTCTTTGATTTGCTTGAATTTCACTTGGGATATCAGCTTTGTTTTTCTGAATTGTGCCCACATAGGTCAAGCCCTGCTATAGCAGTCTTTCTGCCAGGTCAGTACTTGCAAAGAAATTGTCACCCATAATATTCCGTCCCATCTTGTACCAGGGATGAACCAATTTTTCAATGACCTGGGTGACAAGATTAAGTTGACATGGAGCTTCTGGTTACTTGCCTAGGTAGATGTCTCCAGACAGGGGGAATGATGTTGCTGCATCACAGCACCACCAAATTTTCAAGCTATATTTAGCAGGCTTACTGGGCATATACTACCTGAAGGTACAGCGACCCCTGAATGCAATGAGCTGCTCATCAATTGTCAGGTGTATTCCTGGAATATACCATTTCCTGAGCTGCTCCACAAATTGTGTCCCAGTATCTCTGAAGGCAGCAAGCTTGTCCACAGCTCTCCTTTCCTCATGTGTTAGTTTGTTGTCAAATCTCAGGTAGTTGGTGATTTGACGGAATTGTTTTAAACTCATGGTGGCATGGAAGCAGGGATGCCTGGTGCATTGCTTCCACAACTCCTCCAGTGACTTGTGATGACTGTGGCTTAGACCACTCAGCAGTAGGAGGCCAATGTAGGCTTTCAGCTCTGTTTCGTCCAGCTTTTTCCACTCCTTTCTATTTTCAGGATGGCTATCATTACATTTCCTGAACCTTCTTTCTGCCTCTCTGTTTGTTTCTCTTATGCTAACAGTCAGGATATCTTGCGAGAGAAAAAGGTGGAACCTTTCCACCACTGTGTTTTTATTACTTTCTCTTGTTGGCCCAGCACTTTCATGAACTATGTCCTTGGCTGTTCTCTGATGATGTATTAGCTGTCAACTTTCCCCCCATACTCTGCCATTCCTTCCTTTAAAGGAATCATTACCTGAAATGTTTTCTGAGGGTGGTGTCAGTGGTTCTTCTCCACATCCTACTGTAGCTCTCCCTGGTCTTCCATGGTCGCCCTGGGCTGATCCTATTTCCTTTCCCACCAGAAGTGTTGGCATCACTTTTGCTTGTGGCACCAACTCCTCCTCATCTGAGCTTAATGAAGCTTCTATAGAGACATGGTCTTCTTGCTCTAAACCATCTCCCATGTCTGGAACAAAGTCAGAATCCTCACTGCCTTGGGATAAGGTTTCCTCAGTGGATGTGTTACTTTCATCCCCGGTTACCTGTGCAAGACAGGCTTCAGCACTGACTATGCGCTGCCTTCTCATCCTGGACTGTGGAAAAAAAAGACAAAAATAATTACTGCTGAATGCATAAAAATAACAATCAAAGACAAGCCTGTCGACCTATGCTGTCACAGAAGCAATTCCTCCCGGCCCTATGGCAGCGCAGGTAGCACCCTCTCCTCCTGGGCACAGAAGCCAGAGCGTAGGGCAGCGCAGGTAGCACCCTCTCCTCCTGGGCACAGAAGCCAGAGACCAGCATCCACCCTTTGCAGGCAAGTCAAATGCAGGTGGATGCTGTTTGGAAACCACACATGCAGGGGCTTATTGAGGACAGGTAAAAGGGTCACAGGGAGTGTCAAGCCCTTACCGTTGAAGGGGACTCCACAGTATATGCTGCATTGTAGTATGATGTTGTTCTATTTCTTCTCTGCTGTCCCTTTGTTCCTTGTCCTCACTTCCAACAAAGGTAGGGAAAACTAGCTTTTATGTTATGGAAGGGGCAGTTGAGACAGAGTTTTGCCATGAGAAAAGAGATCAGAGGTAGATTTGGTGCGACAAAGATTTTTTTGTTGTTGTTTTTTTTTGGCAAAGGACACGGTGTTTTGATGACCTTGAAGCCTGCAAACAAAGTGGTTAGCAAAAGGGATTACCACATCTTCTGCAAAAGCAGAGTGGAGGATGGCCATCTATTAGTTACCATGGATAACCGAAGTGGACATAAATGAGGTGTGAATGAATGCTGGCCTTTCAGATGCATCCACCCAAAGTAGCCAAACAGGTCTAGGTCTGTCATTTATACAGAAATTGCATTGGGGTAACAAGTTACCCCAATGTATTAACATGGGATTGGGGTAAGTTGTTACCCCATATAGAAAAACACATTCATGCCTGGGATAGCATGTTACCCTGGGAAGTTTTTCATCCACAGAGAGCAAACCATTTACGTAAGCTGACTGTTCTTTGGGGATATTGTGCACTGTGGTGCCAGTGACAATGTCCTGAAAATAATTATTTTTAGAATTAATACACTTTAAGATACTGCACAAAATATGCATCTTGGGTAGCAAATTACCCCATAGGAACATATGAAAGTTAAAATATTCAAAATGCAATCAGTAGTCAAAAGATATAAACCAAAATGCAAGCAGTAGTTAAAACATAAACCATTTCCTCTCATACACACATATAATACGATTCACATGTCACCCTGAGTAGTGAGACCCAAATAGTAAATTATGATGGATTATACAAATATTCAGTAATCATCAAGTTTTGATATCTGGCAATTTTCTACCTACATACTCATTGTAAATAACCATTCCAACTTTAACCAAATCCAGTTGAATAGATTATGAAGTTATATAGAATGGAATTACCACTAAGCTCCATGCAAAATATGAATACTTTTTATTTATAAAATAATAGAATAAAAAAAAATGCATGTTATAATTTCATACAGCACTTTTAAAAACAAGAAGAGAATAAATTACCTGTGGTGGAAGCAGTGGTAGTCTGATATAGGCAAGTAACATACTCAGGTCACTGCATCTCCTTTGCATATCATACTTAACCCACATCATTAATGCATGAAAAATAGTTTCTTCATCAGGAACATTCACATCATCACTTGCAAGGAGTTTATGTAGCTCCTCTGCTGGCAACAGTAAAAACTCTTGATTTCTGATGACTTCCATTATGTTCTCCTGTATGGAAACAAAGTACTCGGAGAGTAAATCCTACCAGAATATTAAATCAGTTGCTAAAGCTACAAAAACACCAACATCAACCAATATCCTTCACAGTCATCTCAAAATAAGCCTTAAGAATAATTCACACTGAAATGCAAATGTTCTCAGGTTACATAATGAGGGTCATATTATAGTGCTAAGAGGTTTGAAATATGAAAAGCGAGTTGTCATTTAAGTTGAGATCTCTCTCTATTACTGTAGGTCTGTGAAAGTAGTAGTTTAGCACATATCAAATATTTTTTAAAAAGTAAGAAAAGAAAGCCCTACTACAATAAGCATTGTTGCATTATATCCTTCTCATTCTGTTGGGAAAATAGGTTTATTAGTTAATAGAATCATAGAAAAGAGGACTGTAAGGGACCTCAAAAAGTCATCTATTACAGCCCCCTGCAGGATCATCTCTATCCAGCTCAAACAACTACTGTGCTCCAGAATGAATTCCATCATTACCATGATAAAGGGCAGAAACACTTTATCATCAGTGGGAGAGTACTTTTTGTAAAACAGTCACTCCATTTCTGACCTCACAGTCCTTGTTCTCAAAGGAAGTCTACATTCTAGCTTCAGAAGATAAGTCTGGAAAAAGTAATTAATTTTTTTATTGGACACAAAAATAATGAACTTAACAAAGACACTGGTTTTATGACTCATTATAAGTTGTCTCTCATCTCTCCTTCTTTCAGCTTGGCTTCACAGGTAAATGTCCGTGTCACTTTTAAGTGATGAAATCTATTAGAATAGTTAGGTTAAACTAAATACATTTGTTCTAACTTTTTTTGAGATACGACTGTGACTGCTTCTTTCCCAAACCTAATGAAGGGCCCTTAAACCAGAAGGATTTTCTCTTATCACACCAAACTTTGCAAGCTGACACAATAAAAGACTTTATGCCTGCATACAGACATTTAAAAAGCCCAAGGCAAAATCGTTCTAATTTATGCGGTTTTCTGTAAGCAGCATAGTTGATATTGGTAGCAACTAGAATACACATTAGACCCTTTGGTGGGAGAGAGGGAACAAATCTTAGACCGGGTTCTGATATTTTTAAACCTGTGTGTGCAATATTCTGTTTTGGGTATAGATCAGTTTTGTGTGACAAATGTTCTGTCTGTTATGGGTATAGACTGCTTTCCAATCACTTATATCCCCAAAAAGTGTAATGTTTTTATTTGGCCTATATGTCACCTCACAAATCTTGTTCCTTTCATATCTCTGAACTACAATGCCTACAACACCCACACCACTAAAGCAGCTCAGACAAATGTTGTCTTAATGTGGATTTAAAACTTTCAATTATGGAAATTCCACATCTCTAGCTAACCTGTTTCACTGTTTAAACAACCTCATAGCTTAGAAAATGTTTTCTAAAATCAAACTTAAAGCCAAAAAATTTATTCATATTTTCCAAGGAAATGGGTTATAAGATACAGTTTAAATATATTAGACTATATTGCTTCCAAATATGATTATGAAGAAAATATAATTCTATTAATAAGAGCTAACATGAAACTTTGCAATTGTATATATAATCAATGGCCTTATATCATTTAACAGAACTTTAGTTGGTAAAATGCCTTTCATGAACTCAAAGTTTCTACTCGTTTATTTACAGAACATTTGGTTGCTTGCCATAATCCCAAAATCTGTGGGGAAAAAGCCTTCTGAACTCAGAGTAATATTTCAGTTTTGAGGTTTTTTTAATAATTTTAAAATTGTTGAATTTGGGCATATATTTAAGATTACTCACCACTCTTATAAGTATTTGTATGGATTTACTTTTGATTATGAACAGAGGTGCTCTAAGGCATTGCAACTCAATGAAGTTTTGTCAGTCAGTGTCAGTTTGTTGAGTCCAAAACATTTCATTTGAAAAATCCAGGTTTCAATGAATGTTTACCAAATTCAAGGAACAGTTTCCAGGGGATCACAGAGAATAATATACCCTTTTAAAACATTAAACAAATTACATGAGCAAAAGCACAATTTTATTTGAATAATTATGCCTGGCAGTAAAAGAAATAGGAAAAATTAATGAACCCCCCCCCAAAATAATAATAATGGTAATTATTCCTGTAAGGTGCCTAGACAGTAAATAATTAGAAGTCATAGAGCTTTTTAAAGCAAAATAAAAGAGTAACTGCTAGAAACTGCTAGAGTTAGAACAGTATGTTGAAATCAATTAATTAAGAGCTACATAGGCAACATGTATCAAAGAGTGGACAGGTAAAGGGACTATTAGAAGGCCTAATGCCTATTCCTTATGAGCAGACAGGGTAGATTTGCACCTTATAGTCTAATTAAATCAGAGATGTATACCATAAGCCAGGGGTTCTCATTCCCTGGGCCACGGCCCAGTGCCGGGCCATGGCAGGTTGCCTACCGATCCACAGCACGGTCAGCTGCTGGGCCGGAAATGGCCTCAGACTGGCAAACCACAGGCCCCCAGAGCCAGGCGGAGAGGCTGAGGCTCCTTCTCCAGGGCCCATGGCAGCACAGGGTTTGCCCCTCCCCCCACCCCCAAGTTTGCTGGGCCACGGCCACTTCTGGGCCATAGTTTGCCAGGTCGCAGCATAAAAACTTTGGGAACCCGTGGCATAAGCTTTTTTACAAAATGACACAAACACTTTTAAAAAACTTCAGCCATTACCACATGCCAGAGGAGGGATTATTTCTTTTCTTATATCCTTATGATACAGAGCCCAGGCTGTTCACAGCAGGCAACTGAGAGGCTGCAAGCTGCTGCACCTGGCTCTGGAGCCCTCTCTGTGGCAGTGGCTATATGCACACCTCTGGGTAGATGGTGGGGGAGGGGTCTAGTCCAATGCAAACCTTGCCCCTCCCCATTGTCTGCCCAGAGATGCACATGCATCCACCACCACCATGGAGCCCAGTGCAGCTGTTCACAACCTCCTGGCTGCCTGCCACAGCCAGCCTGGGCTCTGAGCAGTTGTATCAGGGGGCTGGCAGCTGTACCAGCTCCATGGTGGCAGCAGCAGCATATGTGCTGCCACGTGGATGGCAGGGGAAGAGCCAGGGCTCCAGCATCTACCAACAGTGGGGATCGGGCCTTTCATGGCTCCCCAATGGTCTTCCCTTGGCACACCAAGTTAATGTGTGTGTGTTGGCATGGTTTTGGCACTGTGGCCAAAAATGTTGCCAACCCCTAAATCTTTCACTTTCAATGTAAACTCATGTAAAAAAAAAAAAAAAATCAAACAGGGTGGCATTTTAGTCACACCACCCCGCCTCTCCCCTACATAAAAAAACCCATCCAAAATGGAAAGTGTGTGCTTTTCAGGAGAATTTTTTTTTTATTGGAATGTTAAACACTGAAAACAACACTATTTTGATGAAACCTGGTTTTGCTTCATATATGGAAAATGAGACACTTAGGCCTGTATGTTACAGTGCCAAAAAGAGAAAGGACGAGAAATTATAACTTGAAATTCTTGGGTTTCAAAATACAATTTGGGTGCATTTACATGTTGCCCTACAGCAACATAGGAATGCGCTGTGTCACCATATGGCACACTACGGCAATGGAGCAATCATGTGGGTCTACATGTGATTGGCAACTATGGCACCAAAGAGACATGCTTCCCAATATAGCACACCCCTTTGGTGATATAGTGGTGAAATCTAACTATGTACCATGCGTATGGTGCAGAAACCACACATACGGCACTGTATTTTAGTACTTCAAAAAGGAAGTACTAAAGCATGGTGCTGTAGCAACATTGTTGTATGGTGACATGTAGATGCACCCTTTTTGGTATTTCATATTTGTTGCTAAACATAGGAATTATTTTGATAGAAAATGCCTACATAGCTTTAAAATCTAATTAATTTCATATATACAAAAGACTTGTGGTGTTTCCAATTCATGGGGGGGAGGGGGGGTGTCTAAATGGTTTGGCTGTGTTGAGACCTTCAATTATTATTAGATGGTCTTCCAAAAACATTGACTAAAATTTCCATACCTGACATTTGAAATCCCTCTAAATATAAGTGATGATATTTCTAAACCTATTTACTCTGTATAATTTTTAGATGATCAGTATTTCAGATTGGAAAAAAAAAAGATTTAAATTCTGTGATAGTTTTTAAATTTTTAATTCAATATTTTTTCATCCTGAATCAGGGGAAGAATCTTAAAATATTTTTATGGAAGATAAACTCTGTATTTCATTTTGGAACCAGTGAAGAACACAGAAAAATCTTTTGAAGGGGAGCAATATGCATTTCCTATGGCAGTGGTTTTCAAACTATTTTTCATTTGTGGACCTCCATTTGAAAATTTTTAGGAGTCCACAAATGAAAAATAGATGGAAGACCATCTAATAATAATTGAAGGTCTCAACACAGCCAACTGGCTGGCTGGGATGTGAGGGCATGTCAGTGTGAGGGCTGCATGCTGGCAAGCTCCGCAATGAAGCAACCTCATGCCCCAGCTATCCCCACCATAGCACATTGAGCTGATGGCAGCAGCCCCAGGCTAGCAGGCTGACCCTCCCCCTCCCACCCCAGACTCCCTGCCAGCCCTCCAACTTGGCTCAATGTGCTACAGTCCTAGGCGCATGTGTAAACATGGTGCCCAGGAGCAATAAACTCCCACATGATAAGTGTCAGAACTTATTGCTTCCAGTTAATTCCAGTTAAATGTAGATGTGTCCCCTGTAAGGCAGTATTCTAGGATCTTGGGTTTTGTCTGCATGGGATTTAACTGTTTTAAGTAAATTATTCATGTATTATTATTAATATAGCTATTATAAAATTTCATTCAGGTTTCTTAAATAGCTTACCAACTATCAGTTACCTCTGCAAAACAATGCCACAATCAATTAAGAAATATAGCATATGATCGTATCACCAACCAGTGATATACAGCCATGTCTCAAATGCAATGCAAAAGTCCTTTACCTGTGCTTATTAAAAATGCACAGAAATTACAATAA